CCCACGTGTCCCGACAGGAAGTATTTCCTCCTCTCTACCCTCCTGTGAGATCATGGGAGCATTTCCCCCACAGCAGAACGTAATCGTTCAGTTCAGGCCACGGGAAACGATTCAGGCCAAAATACTAAGAAGCAGGGAGAAGCTAACAGGTTTAAAACCAGTGACCCAGTTCAGCCACAACAGTGTCAGTTTATTCAACTTGAACTGAGCTTATGCACACCTGCTTCTTCCTTGCCCTTCACTTTCTCCTACATGCTAAGCTCTGAGGGCAACATTACTGGTTGCTTAATGACACAGGAAACTGTGCTTTAAGCACAGCTTACTAACCAAGACCTTATGCTGGCTTTTGCTCAGTCTGATAACCGTCTGATTGTAGCCTCAGGGTTAGTAGCCCACCAAGTACGCAGCTCTACAAAGTATGTTAGTTACTCTCCTGCCGATGAAAACACCAGTGCCACATTTGTGCCACATCACAAGCCTGAAAGGAGTGAGAATGCCAGTTCCTTCCCAGCTTGCCTGCATGGCCACCCGGAAGAGATTCCTACTAGACGCAGACAGATAAGGGGAGGCCCTTAAATTGCATTTTCATTAACTTGCTTTTAATCATATGTTGTTGCAATTTTCAAACTACGCAACAAAAACATAAGAAAAAAGAAAAACAATCTTGCATCAATGGAAATGAGTCTGTTACAACAAGTGCATGTGCAATGGGTATCTAAGGGTATAAATATGTATATGAAATACAGCTATCAATAAGCTTCAGCTCAGTCAAACCAAATATCCATCTATTTAATCCATTTGCAGATGGCACTTAAATACCACTTATTCAAATGTTGAAAGCATTGTTAGGTCTACACTCCATTGTGATATAAGCAGCTGGCATGTATCTTTCCAGTGCTGCAATGTCATTGTTTTAGCTGTCAAAACAGTGACGTAAACCCATTTACACTGAGCTTATTTTAATTTTCAAGCAACAGGTAAATACGTTTGCAGAACATGTGCAAAGACTATTCCAATATTGAGTTTATCTGTATTATAACCTTCTCTCAAAAAGAGATAACCGCTGAATGTTGTCAAAATATACCAGTACAAGGAGTATTACCAAAACTGCCTCTCCAGCAGTTGGCCAACTTAGTCAAGCCCATAGTAAAAACAAAATAAAATGCCGTGGTGCTCAATAAACACAAAATAAAAGGTTTTGCTGAATAAGACAAATCCGACACAGATGCAAAAAAAAAAATCCACTGATCAGGCAGACCGGGACATTACAATTCCCTATTCTATTCCTGTTTTTAGACCTTGTGCATAGTATTCATTCCGCAATAAGTATGCGCAAACCTGGATCTTAGGTTGATATAACCAATCAACCTCAGTAAGTGCTTCCAATAGTGAAGGAGACTCTTGAAGCTGTAAAAGTGGCAGAGCCAAAGGAAGTTTCTGACAAATGATTCTGCTGGAAGTATTGCCAGTCAGCCACAGCATGCAAATTGTATTTGGCATGTAAAGCTGAGAATGACAAAAGCGCCCACTAATTGATCAAAGCTAAAAGTCAGCATCTCCTTTCCAATTTTAAATCCATGTTTCCCACTGAGTCCATTTTATATGAGAAAACTATAAAGGACTATCCTAACTGTAGGAGGAACCCTATCTATTTTGATGTACTAAGAACCTGATGCCTTCTATTTAGAGAAAGGATCTAGTCATAAAGATTACAACATTGGCAAAGATGGTAGCCTAAGTGAAAAGACCCAAAGTTGGTACTGGCCAACAGACAAGCTTCTGACAGCAAAATCTAAAAGGCCAAATCCACCTTCTTTTATTTGCAAACTGTATTCTTTTCATATAAATTCATGGTGGGAAGGAACCTTAAAAAAAAAAAAAAAAAAAAAAAAGACCAGGGCACTACATTTTTGAAAATACTTGCCAGGTGTTTTTTGAAAATGAAAGACAAACTAGTTTTGCTAGTTAACAGCTACTGGGAATGGCAGACTGGGTGTTTTCCTTTCTGCTCCCTGTCCACACAGATTATTCCTGCTTTGCTCCTATGGGGAGATCTTATTTGTCCTTGTGAAATACTTCTATGGCCACTCCTTGCCTCAATGCCGACCGCTGACCTCTGTGATTCCACAATAACTGACCGCCTCCCCCAAGGACACCAGGAGGGCAACAACATTCGGTATTCTAAGGAGAGATTTGAGATTTGCAAGAAAAGTGTACTTCCACGTAAAAAAAAACAGAGGGAATGGACTTGGTGTTGATTTCTTTTAACAAAATAGGGCCTCTCTCCCATTTCCCTTGAGCAATAAGTGGAATAAGAGAAACAGTTATCCATCATTCGCTTGTACATTGTCCTAGTTCAGCATCACACACCGAGCAAAGGAAGTATCCTCCACCAGCAGCACAATCGTAATCAACAATCTGCAATCCAAATACCATTTTTAATCTGGAGCTTTGGGGGGGGGGGGGGGGGGGGGGGAGCAGTGAAATCACCCTCACACGAAGTGCACCAACCAGAACCTACATACAGCCAAGCAATGAGACTGATCAGAGCTGACCTAAACCCTCTGATGTGAGAGAGTTATTACTCCTGACAGCAGGAACCACGCAGCAGCCAGAGCAGCCTGGCAGGCAAGATCTCTGCACACATTCACTGAATGAGCGCAGGCTAAAAATAGTGAAGCTGCAAGAATCACAGAATACCTCCTAGGCAAGCTCTAAAATTATAGCTGCTCTAAAAAAGACTAACATGGAAGGACAGGCTACAAAAACGATCAAAACCAGACAGCAAGAAGAATGGCAGCCAGCAGCATAGGACAAGCGTCACATCTCATCTGCCTCTTGAAGTCGCCGTCACCGAGATGTGTACAGGAGGAGGACTGGGCACCAGCGGAGCATGAGAAGCAAACTACTATTACTGTGGCTGACACAACTACTGACTGACAGAGCACAGAGAAACAGGGAGTGTGTTGCACAGCACTGTGGCCCTGCCAGATCTCAAAGCCACACCCCGTGCACACTATGCTTTGGTAACACGGGTCAGGTAAATATGAAAAGATTTTTTAAAAACACAGTGTTTTCCCTTATCAGGACAGGAAATTTCCTATTTATTTCAAGAGTAAGAGGAGAATTTAAAAAACCTGGACATTTTGGGAGCATATAAGACTAGTATCTAGCAGCAAATCTAAGAGCTGTGTCCTCTCCTTTGGTCATCAAATCAAGATCCAGTTTTTGGAAACTGCTGCTTACCAATCAGGAATACATGGACCTAAACTCTAGTTTGAAATTCAGCTCAATATTAAGTGATGGAAGATAAAATCTATGGATTTATTGTGTGGATCATATGATTTTCTATGCTTACTTCTTTGTCACATGAAGATGGGTACAGACCTGTTCTCCCCTGCAGAGGAAGGCAGGACATGCTCCAATGGAGCAAAGCTCAGGGAACCAAGGTTCCATTTAGATACCAGGAATACTTCCTGACAGTCAGGACCCCGAGGGCATGGAAATGGCTTCCACGAGGGGTTGCTGGGGCCCCATCGGTGAGGGTGTTCAAAGATAGGCTGGACATGCACATGGTGGGCATGTCGTGAGCGAAGCCGGCTGGAGCTGGGGGTCAGACTAGATGGCCCGGGAGGTCCCTTCTGACTCACTCTGTTTCTATGTTTCTATTCTTATTAAAATCATGCAGCAAGAAAAAAATAACAAAAAGAAAACAGGTACCATTAGTAACAAAACCCTACAAACAAAACAAAAGGAAAGGTGATCTAGTCTTCACTGATACCACAAGCTGTTTTGGTCTTTATACTGTGATGATGCCAGTGTGCAGTTCCAGCAATTTGGGAAAGAGCACTGCCAGCCTCACCGTGTCTTCTGAAATTATAACCTCTCAGAATCTGCCAAATCTACTCAGTCTAGTTTTGCATCAAGATGGATCTCTAATAGGACAAGAAGATGCATTTTGCATCTCAGCAAGATACTGTCCTTGCATCACTCTCACTCAAGATAATTGACAATCTCACAGGCCGTACTGGCTGGCTGCCGAGGCACATTAGACCTCTTCAGGAAAGAAGATGATAGGGTAGCAGTCTTTGTGGTAAAGCATGCACTGGCTTGCACAGATCAAAAAAAACTTCACAAGTGCTTTTTGTAAGTTAAAATCAATCCTGTTCCCAAGATGTAACATATTCACACGTATGACAAATGTTTGCTTTGTCTTCAACAAAGCAAAACTTTAAAGAAACTGATCTGACCTGGAAAGAGGCTTTAGAAAATGCAAGGTCAAGAAATGGGCATAAGCAAACATTAAGCAAAGCACTAATTTAGAGAACAGACGGTTAGTTATACTTTTTAAAACTCTGAACACAGGGCAAGACACACACACTAAAAGTGAAGGAAAAGAATTCTTCATGTGTGTATCGACTGGGCCCAAAACATCTAAGACTGAGATGGAGCATGTTTAGATCGGGAGCAGTCGCGTATTTCAATATCCTGGTGGTGGCTCAACAGTGTGGCTGTGCAGGAGAAGACAGGACCACACCCCAGAAGGCCGCAGAATAGTGATGAGCAACATGAGGTCCCTTGACCCCTTTTGTGGCTGCAGTAGCGGCAGCAAGAAGGCATGTGGCTTACCACTGAAATTCAGCATCCTGAAGTGGTGGTGGCAAAGAAGTGTGTGTTTTAGCAAGGTGTGAAAACTTGTTTTCAAGAAAAATCATGCTCCAGGGAGGGTTTTTGGGGATGGTGGCAGGGAGGGGCAGAGGGGGCAACGTGTCTCGTTCAACCCCTGGAAGTCACTTACCCATATTCTAGAGTGTGCTTTCATTTCACATGGGAAACAAAGACTGGATGAAGGCTGCTTTTTGCAGTGTGGTAGAATCCTCTAGCATATTTTCTCATTTTACACAAAAAGGCCACAAAGAATTAGGCTGGAGTAGAACACTGTGTTAGAGCCCTCAGTCGACCAGGCGGGCCTAAAAAGAAGCATAACAAAGGACACCTACCGTCTTCTGTCTCCTGCCACACGATGCCTTCCAGATTGACACTGGTGCCAGGTTCACAGGGGCCCAAGCACTCTGGCTCAGTAGCCAGTGCCACGTCACAGGTGTTCACCCCTACAGAGCGAGTGCGTACCATTATCTGCTCACATGGTGATGAGATATCATTGTTGACAACAGGGACAAGAAGATGCAACGGTAGCACTGCAGGGGTGGACACTGGAGACTCCATCTGGAAAAAGAGAAAATATAGTAATTACAACAAAAGAATACAGATGTATGAGGGCCCGCTGGGTCTCTCCTTTGTCTTTGACATGTCCCAACTAGGATGGCCGGGCTTAATACCTACACTTGTCCCTGATCTTTAGGAATAGGAATAATGAGTTCTGGAGATCAGAGTATAGGACGTGGTTGGCATCTTTGTGTTAGGCATGCCAGTTCCAATAATCCACAAATGAACCAAGCCTGATGTCATTCGAACTATTTGTTGGAAAGGCTCCTATGCAACTAGTGTTCTGGCACGGGCAAGTCTTAGCTTTGAGGCGAGGCGAGGCAAGCTGGTTTCAGTTCAACACATGGTCCAATCCTCTCCCCAGCCCCTCTCTTCCCCAGTGGGATACAGGTCTGAAGGGGACAGGCTACGTTCTCATGGTGTTGCCAGACCTGTGTTAACGCTCAGATGGAAAGATCCTCCTCTATGAAAAAATGCTCCTTCACAAAAAGAATGAATATGAGGGTTAGGACAGAGGCTTTTGTTTTTACTTCTATCCAGGAATATTTCTCTAGGCAGGAATAATCACACAAACCTTTCCATCTATAATCTGATGTAGTCCTACCAAAAAGGAGGTTACAACCAAGTGAGCAGTGGGCTCTGGTTGGCCTGTGTTATTGGTCAGTGATTTATTTTATGGAAACTTAATCTGATGAGGCAGATGCAAATTATGCCCTGAAGCCTGCCACAGAGTGATTAAATTGCTGTTTAACGTAAAGATTCACCACTAATATCCAGGCAAACGTATGAGGGAAAGGCAGAATCAAGTATCTTATCCATTCTGCCCATCTTTTTTCAAAACAGAATTATCTTCCTCTCCCATACTAAACAATCACCTGAGTTAGAACATCTCCCAGCCCTGCCCCTGAAGTGATCTACCATCTAAGGCTGCTGGATACTCACACAGAATGCAGTCTTCTCAGGAAACAAGGTTTCTTTCTCATTTGGCTTTTGTTGCCCCTCAAATCATCAGCTAATTCAAAAATTGTACCACGTGCTACTCAGCGTCCAAGTGATGGCCCTGAATGCATCTGGGTACGCAGAGGCACATTTCGCCGGGGAATCAAGCCTTCAAGCTGTCACTCCGGAAATCTGCCTGCTTGCTGCAGACTATAGCCTGCCCTTCTTGGTCTCCGATGCGCCAAAAGCAGAAGTCCCAAGCCCTTTGCCAGGAGATGCCCTGCACGCTTCTTTCCACAGGCATTTGCGGGGAGTTATAAAACCGGGTGTTATTTATGGAACATGACTGCCAACACTACATATTCCCACTCAAACTAAATCAAGTTTTTGAACAGTTGCCAGGTATCCTCCTTTGTTGCCGTGCCCCCCGCCCCCCAGAGCTGGCTGTGTCTTTTTATGAAGCAATTAAATTGCAGTGAAATAGGGCAAGTTGAATCTTGTGTGCCCAAGTGTGTCTTGCCCAGCCCTGTGGAAGCAAATCTTTCCAGTGTTCCTCTAACAATCCCTAAGCAGGGGAGGACGGCAACACTATCATCTAATTTAAGCCCCTTTTAGCTCTCAGGTACAAACCGTGTCCTGAGTTTGACTAAGAAAATGGCAGTAGTGATTATTATACTACCTAGTGCCCCTGCTGGATAAGAAACAGGGAAAAACACTTAGGTTTACTCTTCAGTGCACACAATCTCATTAAATGTCCCCCATCACACAAGCAATAACTGAGGAAACAGCTGCCTCGCCTTTGGCAAGGTTCGGTGCCCAAGAACGTGGGCAATGCTGAGCTCTGGGGATGGATTTTCACTTCCAGTCATGTTAACATAGCAGAACAAAACACCCTGAGTGTCTTTTGCCTGCACTTGGCTCCCTCTCCTTCTGTGTATATCCCTGCTCTGGACAGCTGAACAAAGCAAATCCAATCTGATCAACATTTAATACTGGCTGCTAGTTTAATCTGTAGTGACTGAGCTGCATGTATCTGCCCAGGCAGGTAGCAAAGTCTATGACCTAGTTCTCAGAAAAGCAATTAACCCCTGTAGTTTGATTGGACAAGTTCCCTCATGTAAGCCCCCACTTGCAGACTGGGTGTTCTTGTGAAAAACACATGCCTGCACGCAGAAAACTAGCTTGTCAGGGGGAAGCATAAGATTTATATAAGTGGGGGACAGGCAGAACATCAACAATATCAACTGGGAGGTCTCTAGGTGATTTGCAGTAGATCAGCAAAGGTTTCTAAATCCTAATTGTCTATATAGCAACAACTATAAATTCCCATAAATTAAACTAGAAAAAAGAACACTGGGGGAAGGGCAACCAGAAGTGGGTATTTCTGTGAAAATTTATCAGCTTGGTACTGATCAAACATTCCTGGCAATCATGTGCTTACAAGCACCCTATCCCATAATGCACTGTCTGCTGTGCCACTATTTTGCACCTGGCTCAGGTTATGGAAAAATGAACTTGGCTCTGCCTAGCCTTGCTATAAACACTAGAGGTTAATACTTACCCCTCTCCTGAGTGTTTTGTGTACATGGAAAGGAAAAGGTGTCTCACACTGTGTGGAGCCAGAGCCAAACCCAGTGCCTGCATCTGTGGAGGCATGTCCTTTTGCTTCTCTTCCCTTTCTGCTCAAGATTGGCACAGAGATGCAAAACAACCTTTGTGTCCAAATGCTGAGCCAAAAGACCTACTCATGATGCATTTGTCAAAGTCCCAAGATGTCTGCCTGTGAGAAAAGGTTTCAAAGGGCAACAGAGAATCTGCCTCTTCACACAATATGCTGCTGCAGCCTCACAATAACCTAAGCATTTTTTTGCGTATTTCCAGCAACGGCTCTAGTGTCAGCCCTAAGTCTCCAGTCCCAAAATAGCAGGTTTGCACTTCCCAGCACTGCAGCCTGCTAGGCCGATTCTCTCAGATGGGCTCACTGGTGGTGTCCCAACACTCTCAGCTGAGGGCAATGTCATATTGCCAGAGAAAATGCTAGAAACCTCTGCCTGTTTCTTGTGAGAACAGAGAATGGAACTAATTGTCTGCTCCAGAAAACCCCGTTCCCTAATCCTGAACAGATGTTCCCTCCCTCTTACATATTAAAGCAAAACATTTGGCAAGGAACCGCGGGCAGTCGATTCATTCTGAAAGATGGAAACTGGTTCACCACAGTGTATCCCTGGAGGCAGAATTGGGCCACTTCTTGGTGTGTTTAGAGTCAGGGTAGTTGCAGGTTTGCAAACTGTTCAGCTGCCTTCTACTTTGAAAGGTAATCAGCACTCAGCAGAAGAACACTAATTGCCACTCCAGCTTTGCTAATTATCATTTGGTCACATTTGTAATCTGCATTATGCCACAGCGCATAATAAGCAGCTTGCTGAGAATCATCTAATAAGTGAGGCGGCTTTATGGGATTTCATATTTCACTCTGCAGTGGAACAAACGTAGTGCCATTTATCAGCTGCTGGGGCACAGGAACACAGGAGGAGGAGGAGGAGGAGGAGGGAGCAGCACGTGCCGCTCAATCTTCCCGGTGGCTTTTGAAGAGAGAGAAGAAAGGCGCCGAAGCCGAAGCCGTAAAGGCAGCTCCAAAGGAAGCCATGATGAAATACACCTGGGTGAGCCGAGGAGGAACAGGAAAGCAGCGCCTGGCTCCACCTGCGGAGCGGCTCTCTGGGTCACGGGGCTGCAGATGACAGGAGCGGGTTTAGACAGAGACAGGCAGACTGAGGAGGAAAGACGAGGTCATCATTCTCCCCAAGGGTGGTAATTACACCATGCACTCCTGTGCAAAAGCTTCTTCCAGCTTCGGATCCAAACAGATGGCTTGTCAGAGCCAGATATGCCACTGGCAAATGCAGGTGCTGGACAGCAGGAACATCTCAAAAACCAAACCACACCACACACCACACCGGCATACAGCTCACCACAGAACCAGCAACTGATTCAAGGCCAGATTTGCAAGCAGGGCAACTTTGTGAGAAGGTCATAGATTGTTCATCCCCAACTATGCCTATTTCCAAATCCCCTTAAAGCCTCAGGCACTAGCCTATGACCATTCAGCAAGTATCTGAACCCCATTCAAAGATCAGTATATTTTTGGATAACAGAATACAGAAAACTATATTCTCTTTCCAAGAGTTTTCCATAGAACTTGGGCAAGTTATACCTCAATTCTACAGCCATGTTTACTTGCAAGTTTTATTTCAAAGAAGCCTTTTTCCTGCTCTGCTTAGAACCACAGCCTCCAGACGATTTCAAAGGAAAGATATTTCATCTGCTCCACACAAGTCTCCCTACCGACCATTGTGACATGTGGCGATGAGCCAGTGCATTGGTCTTCATGAGTTTATGTCCCCAGGGCCAAGCCACATATAATGTATTAATGCTTACAAGCTTCGTGGAGACAATTAATGACTCCTGGATGTGGCACATGAGCAAGTTGCAGCAATATGTTTCATGTGCTGCGCCACATCACTACAGAACCACTTTTCATTCACAAGAGATGCTGCGGTTTTCATTAGGCTATGAAACCAGATGCAGATGCTGAAACAACCCATAGAGCAATGGACAAGATATGGAGACGTTTAGCAGCTACACGTCAAGTCGGAGACCTTGAAGATTTCTTTGGCACCCGATGATGCTATGGAAGACTCACAGCAACAAGAACAAAAATATAGTCAAGGATAAAATAAAACCTCATGAAAATGGTATTTTAGCTTGGAATGCCTGATCAAAACTGATTGCTCATTAAAAGCCTATGCTTAAATAATATATGAAGAATGACCTTGTATAAAAGACAGACCACCTCTTTTCAATGCATATTTAGTTCCCAAATGCAAGTGCCAGTGGTGACCAGAAATATACCTTTTGCAATCGACAGGGAAACTGTTCTGATACTCTACTATTACAAATGATAGTAGGCCTGGTTGGTTGTCATTGTTTTAAAAGTCACTGGCAAGAGAGGGAGGAAAGAATGCAACACACAGGACTCCAGGAGTTACTCCATGGTCTGGCATTTCTGGAATTATGAAATAAAAACTAACACAAGGAAGAACAGTTAAGTTTTGAAACTATGTCCACACACATTTATAATCTGTACAACACTGCACTATGGTAAATGCTACATTTTTCGTTTTGTTTTGTTTTGGGTAGCTTTGTGATAGCTGTACCAAACTGAAGCAAGCAGCTCTGGGACACTATGGGATTATTTCCCCATCAAAACACAGATGAAAGTGCTTCAAATTAAACAAATAGTAAGCTTTCACATTTTGCTCTGATGTCAAAGATACATATATAATACCTTAACATAAATGGTAACACACACACACGCGCGCATGGCTAGGCTTTTATAAAAGAATCTGTAGACAATGTATAGGGAAAGTCCTCATAAAACAGCCAAAAGCGAGATAACTTGGAAAGGGGATTACAATGTGGTGGAAACTTCCAAACTTGGACTATGCCTTGCCTAGATGAGCACATGCTTTTAACAGAATGAGTAACATACACTGAAGTCTGTCTGTCCTTAATTAAACATGTTTTAGGGATAATCTTACCAAGTGCTGCTCAGTTCTTACAACATCCCTATCCTCCTGCTTTCTGTAAGGTCTTTCTGAAACCTTTCAACTGAAAAACTCTGAATACAGCAATAGGCAGGCAATTCACTAAGGAACCTTGCAAACAGGCAAAGGTGAGGAAGTCCTTCAGGGCAAAAGAAAGAAAGACAGGCAAGCCAAACCCCTTAGCAATAGCTAATAGGTATTGGGGTGACTTTTCAAAAGCTGATAACTTTGTGCTTGCTACTAATATGCTGACTAAGCCAGGGACAAAAAGCTGAAGGGAAAGGAGGCATCAGGCATTTGGAAGAGGCTGTAAGGTCTTCGCAGACTTCAGGTATCTCCTTTGAATTCTATCACTATGTATGAAACAATCCTCTAGGACAATGTTTCCCCGCTAGAATCTAATTCCTCTCACAGGTCAACAAACAACATCTATGACAACTGGGTTGATCCCAATAGTAAATCGATAAAGCACTTCCTACAAGAATGAGAACATTAAGGATTCCACACATACTAGCAGCATATAGATACTCTATACTGGGATGGATGTTGTAGTGTGAATTGGCTTTTCAGTGGACAAACCTACAATGGCGGAGGAAAATTTTATGTGCTATATGCTACTCTACAAATATGTAAAGCATCTCTCAGGGAACAACACTACAGAGACAGCAGATGACTGCCACCTTGAGCTATGCTTTAAAAATGTCATCAGCTTTTCACTGCTACAGTTTTCTGAAGCTAGCAAAATACAAGATCTTTATCAACAATGCCTATTAGCACCATACAACTAAAGGCAAGAGCCTTTTGAAGACACACACCTACACACACACACACTCTTACCCAGCAAAGGCTGAATTACTACATAAGCTCACCAAGGAGCCTGTACCTTACTAGTTATTTTGTGAACATGTTATTCCTATTTTTCAAAGAAAAAGAAATCTAGGACTTACTTTACCATGCCAGACCAAAAGGTCTATCTAGTCAAACACTATCTACCCCCAAAGTAGCCAGTCTCATACGGAGCGTTGTGTCAGGGGAATGGACTTGGCACCTTCCTGTTGTTCAGGCAGAATACCATGGTAGCGTTGTCCGTGGGGATCCGTTTGTGGCAGTTCTGAAGAACAGGTTAGAAGGCAGTGAAGACCTTCTGTATTGCCAAGACCTTGAGATAATTGATGTGTTCATGCCTTTCCCATTTTGCTTGATTCATAGACTTATAGAACAGTAGAGTTGGAAGGGGCCATGAAGGCCATCAGGTCCAGCCCCCTGCTATTGCAGGACACCACGTCACACCATTCCACCCAGTTGGCTGTCTAGTTTCTTTCTGAATGTCTCTAGTGTGGGACAGCCCACACCCCTCTGATGAACCTGAAAGTTTGCAGAGTATTTTGTGACTTTTGAGTTGCCCTCAAAAAGACACTATGTCAATGTGGGTTTTAGAGTTTTCTTTAGAACATTATTACCTTCACATTTTGTGCAAAGCCACAAGTATTTAATTTCACCCACAAAAAAATGAAATGGGTATAAGAGAATGAATACTATAAATGAGATGAGCAGCTGGTAAATCTCAAGAGCAAGGAGGGTTTTTCTCATTGGTGAAGGTAACTGCCTTTCCAGCTTCAGCTATGTAGTATCAGCCACTAATAAGACAGAAAAAGAAAGGTCAGGCCGGGGAAAAAAGGTGAGGTGCTTCACACTGTTAGCAACAGACCAAAATGTCTTCTTTTAGTGCTCCACTGAGCAGGGCAGAAAAATATGTAGCTCTTGCAACTGAAGAACTGTAAGAGCAGACACTCAGCTAGTTCCTCAACACTAAGTCAACTGAGTTTGTGAAATGAAGCAAGTTAGACAGTTCTAGTAAGAGAATTTGTATTGGCTCCAGCTGTCACAATAGTTCCTTGAGAAAGGACCTCAGTGGTGAAGAGCAACCCTGGTAAGGGTAGCAAATACCATGGAATAAAAGGCAAAAGGAAAGCTAACTTCACTGCTGGCTGCATCTCAAAAAATACAGTTGACTCAAACTCTGGGAGCAGCTGGATCAAATACATTCCACATGCAAACAGCACAAAGTAACTACAGTGTCTCTCATGAAAGACTATAGCCATCTCTTGGGCAGAAATAAATGTATCAAAGAAGGACAGAAGCCAGGATTTTCCCTTTTCTACTTGGAAGCTAATGATAAATGATGCTCTGTGCTGGTGCCAGGTGTCAGAGCTGAAACCTCCAACATGCTGTAGCAAAGAATCTGTTTCGCTTCCCAGATGGCCTTTCCATTACTATCTAGGAATACAGTTCTCTGAAATTGGGAGGAAAGGAGCAGTGGTGAAAAGAATTCAGCCCAAAGAACTGAACGTGGCCACACTCCCAGCTTAACATTAAGCAAAAGTGCCTGAAAGGAGCACCTCCCTGATGTTTTCCTTCTGCAATTTGCAACCAAGAAACCCCTTTAACTGCCTGGAGCTCAGAAGTATCTTCCATTCTTACATGGCAGCTGATGATCAGGAGTCCCTGTCTGCAAATCACCGGAAAATTATACTTTTCATCTTCCTGTCAGCTCTCTTCCTACTCCCCATTTCTGGTTGCAAAGCAAGGAGGTCTAGACAAGCCATTCTTCAAGCAATCGGCACAGAAATAGCTGCCCATATGAGCAGGGCTTACATGCCTTACTCAGAGGAAATCAAACAAAGCCTTCCTGGACAGATTATTTAGTTTTTGGTAATTTTAATTTCCAGCAAGGGAAGTTGCATATAAATCTCACTAATTTATTAATTAAAAAACAGCCAGCTAGAACCGCTGAGGAATAATGTTCATCTTCAGTTCTAAACAGCCTGCTAATCTTCCTGGGAGGTTGCTGTGAATCTGACCTTTTTAGCAACGTTAACTATGCATACACAGTGCCAGGTTCTGCACTTATTTCCACTGCCTGACAGAAGGAAAGCCACGCTTAGAGCCAGGTATCTGCAAGATGAATAAGGGGTGTCTGAATGATAAGTGTCCAGGAGCATAATATGAAAATGGTCACAGAATGTAAAATAATTTGAACTTTTACTCAAACTTATTATATACTTATAAAATGTTTTAAATATGTGCAGCTTTTACATGCTTCTGAGATGTTGCTTAAAAGAAGTTATCAACAGAAAGCAAATGCCAAGACATTTAGACATGTAAGCTTAACCAAAACAGATTAAGGGGAAATGAAGAGTTTGAATTTCAAAAGCCACATACCCATTTCACCTCAAGGTTTTCCTGGCACTTGACCAGGGCTGCACAACTCTGTCAGGGTGGGCCTGAATCCAGCTGGGCCTTTCTGTATGTTGGTCACAACCACCAAGGCCACCCTCCGCTTTCCCTCTGCTGAGGCTGGAGATAACACAGACGACACTGTGAGCACCCCCCCCCCCCCAGTGAGCCATCCCTTCCCACAGATCTTGAGAAGGGCGCAAATTCTGCAAATATGCAAAGGGATCCTTTGTGCAATGTAAAAATTGAGGCCCTATCCTTTGGTTCTTCCTGATGTTCACAAAAGCTCTCAAGACAAGCAGTTGACGATTACAGGGAAAGGGCCCCTCACAGCAGCAACCGATCTTCAATGAGTTCGACTCCACAAATAGCTTTGATTTCTGAGAGCCAATGCAGTAGGATCAATGTAATTTAAAACCACCCAAGAGAAAAGAGGTTTTAAAAATCATTGATCTAAATAAAAATTCCCATTGAAACTTCAGACTTTCATGACAGTGTATAATCACTATAATATGCTAATTTACAAATGGAGTCTATTATACCCACTCAGCAATGGATTCACTTTAAGAATATATTATGACTTTATATATACTTGCTTAAATTATGAAGAATTTCAGTATTATTGGGAACAGTATCTTTATATATAATTTTATCAGGCTTCATTATGATAGTAATAAATAATTGCATACATGCATACTGCTCAGTTAATGTTTAACATGTAAATACACTTAAAGTCAACATAAATACATTGTTTTTGTCTATACATGTAAACATCTTAAGGATCTTCTCTTGACCTGTCCAAAACCCAGAGCTGATAGCAGCTTCCAAAGCAGAACAATGTGTTTTCCTTGAGATGAGAAGCACATGTTCAGTTTGTTGGAACAGTAAAATATTCTTAACCAGAAAAAGTATGGTTCTGTGAATAATTTACAGAGCTCTGCTAAACTAGGAGATAAATAAAACAAACAAAAAACAAAAAAAACTTAGGGGCACTTAGTCAATTGTGCTGGAAAAACATAGATGTAGGATCTTGTGCCATCCAATATCAAGTATATTAACTTCAACGGATTGGTTGTGCCCTTTTTATAATACTTGACCACAAAAGGAAGATACTTCCCTCACCACATAGCCTGTTCCCTATTTAGAATGGTCTGTGTCCACAAACCCATTATAATACGATGTAACATATTTTAGGAATCCATTTTCCAGTTTGTCTGCATCCTTCTTAAACTCTGGTGCTCACAACTACGCACATTCTCCAGATGAGGCTTAACCGGTGCTACGCACAGAGGAACTAGGACTTCATGTGATTTGGAGGTGATGCTTCTATTAAGGAAGCCCGAAGTCGCATCTGCCCTTTTTGCAGTCACATCACATTGCCGACTCATATTCAGCTTGTGATCTACAGCAACTTGTACTTGTGTACACATAAAATATATAGCATGCAGGAAAATAGCAGGGTGACCTGTGAGGCAACAGTGAGGAACCTGAATGGAATTCACAAAATCTGCTTTTTCTCTTTGTTGCCTCTGAGTAGCCAAATAGTCTGAACAAAGCATGTAAAGGCACATTTCCTCCTCCCTTTGCAACAAATTACATATGCCCTATTGAAACATCTTTCTTTGGAGATTTTTCTGACATCAGGTCAATTTAGCTGGTCTTAGTGATGGACAAAGAGTAACCCTTCTGCAAACTCTCCTAAATTACACACAAATACTAAAGGAATACTATAATGCAGCTAACAGAAGCTGGCTAGACCTATGTACAGAAAACCCTGGAATAACAAATCAGAAATCATAGAAAGGAATGGTCACTAAAATACAGGAGAGATATGAAAGGTATTCTTTGAAACATCTTGCTGCAGACTTAAATAAGCATTGCAAGATATATAAAAATTATACTGTGAAAAAACATATATTCCTGTTTTGGATTCAGTTGTTGAAGCCACGTGATCTCATTTAGAGTTCCAACAGCCAATGGGTATTTCAAAAACTGCACTCTTCATTTTCTTTGGAGTTCCTTGATTTGATTTTATACAGAAAACATTCTCCAGATTCTAGTGGAACACAAACAGAGGCCAAGGATGAGAAAGTTATGTCCTCCAACTGAGTGAATAGACTGAGAAAATTAAATTCAGGGGGTTCCCATATTTAATGTTTCATTCCACACAGGATAATTAAAATTCTTGCACTCACCCATCAGTGACGGAAGTGGCCCATATCCTTCCTTGGCTCTGCACACTCATGAAAGCAGAGGTTCCAATAGAGTGCAGTGCTAAACATGGTAACTATAAACTGAATAATGGGGTTCTAACTGCAGCTCCCTATATTAACATTTTCAGCATGTTTTCTGCTTTCCTTGGCTAGGCTGCCAAATGCTGAACTCCCTGTCAGAACCTTCTGTTGTTTGATTCAAGCTAAAGTGAAGTGCATATGCTTGCAAGAAGACTGGAGAAGCTCATTGTTTTCTGTGAATACAGAGACATATTCCAAAAGATTGTCTCATTTTGCTGCTGCAACCTCCACCACAAGTACAAATAGTATGAACACACACTGTTCATACTAGGAATTTAAGGTGGACACAAGGAATTTGGCATAAAGGAGATCCTCAACTGCTGTAACATTCCAAGAGATAAAAGGAAATCAGATGCAATCCCCTCCCCTCTAATTATCTGCCAGGTGCTCATTTAAGTGTCTTCCTTCTTGCTATACAAAAGCAGCATATACCTACATTCAGCTAACATTCTTTTCCTTCCTTCGTTGGATGATCTAAGTTCCAGATGACTTTCTGAACAAAACTGCTCCTTAGCAATATATACAAATTAAACCAGCCATTGAAGAATTCTGGGATAAAACCAATTTGTAAAAGCTGAAAATGAAGAAAGCTATCAGGAAGAAAATTGATGCATTTGAAAAATAATGCGGGAGGAGAGCTTTGCAACTACCGAAAGAGAAACAAATGGGTCCTAGATCACATCAAGTCAGAACTTGCCCTGGGAGCAAAAATGATAAAACGGAAGCTGTTGCACATCAGGCACAGCACTGCAGAAGACAATAAGCCTGGGAAAGCAGCAGGCAGGAAAGGGATGGGAAGGCCAAATGCGAGGCTGATCAATCCCACGAAGGGAGCCACAGCCTTGCGTTCACGAGGGCTAAGCAGGGCTACCAAAGGGTGCACTTTGGAGGACATTTGGTCATGGCGTCACCATTAACCAGAGACAACTTGATGGCAGCAGCAAAGCAGAGGAAACTGGCTGCAACCCAGAATCTGTCTGAGGCTGGCAACACCATGCATTGTCTATGCTTCTCTGCCAGGCAGCTATAGATTTCCAAGTCAGCTGGGTGTTTAAAGTTGCCTTTCCTTGAAAACCCCTATGACTTGCAGGACAGACAGGTATCTCCCTCACTCAGTATGCACACGCAAAGTCAAAGGAAAGTGGAATCAATCTACCAAAATTCAAGTGCATCTGAAAGGCAAGTTACGTACCTGGTAAGGTACGTACCTGTAAATGTTGTCCTTCAAGTGGCCATCTGTGCATTCATACATAGGGGCTGCTGGCCTGCGTAGAGCCTGTTGCCGGCAAGATTTAACAGCTATTAAATCTTGCTGGCAAAAGGCTCCATGCAGGAACAGAGCCCATATGTGTGATGCACAGAGAACATGAAGAAGAACTGCAAGGATACACTTGACAGGGGTCAATGGATTTGACAATGAAATTTGAAATGAAGAGACAAGAGTGAAGGCTGTGGTTTCAGCAAGAATTTCCCTAACAAAGTCAGAAACTGGGTAGGAGAAAAGGCAAAAAGTCACACAGGAATATGCAAGCCTGTAGCAATGGGGCAGAATGAGGTGACCCCAGCTAGCCCAAGGCCATGTGATCCAGTAATTCCCCAAAGCTTCTGCAAAGACACAATCAGTAAACTATGGGAGATTTTATCTTTGAAAGTTACTGTTTCCTTACAACCAGTTGATAATGCCTAAAGAAGCTTCCTCAACCTGGCATTCAGTGCATCTGGTGGCACTGGGCTGAGGAATACTTGTGTAAGTGCTATGGAGAACTCTACAAGATGGGCTTCAAAGTTGCCTCATCAGGCTAGGGAAAAGGCATTCTTTCAAGATATAACCATAAAGGCAACCCTTTTCTAGTGATCAAATTTAAGTAAATCATGAAGCAATTGGAGGTTCACATCTAGGAACTGCTCTTGAACTCAACCGGACTACCTTTCAAGTAAACCTGCGTAGGACAGGGCTGTCTGAACAACTTTTCAACAGCATTACAATAGCAAGAGAAGCAAAGAGCAAGTAAGGTACTAGGAGTGATGTACCAAATTAATAGGAAGAGTTCAGGAATGGGGTCTGCATGCTGCACTTCAGTATAAACTGG